GTGCATAAAAACGCGTCTCTGCGCCTGACATCGCAAAATAGTGTGTCTAGAAGCTTGCGCAATATGCATGACTTGTCCCTGTAGTGTTGCCAAATATATTAAACATACCTAACAGAAAAGAATTTTAAATTAATTCATTTTTAAATTATATGATTTAAACAGTTTATATCTACGAAATATCGCCACAAAATAACTTATACACATTTAAATAATCAACTAATAATATTTATGTGTAATTACATTCCCAAAAATATATACAAATACCGTATTAATGTCATTAATACCGTATTTTTAATGTTCAATAAGCGATTCACCTACAAATTCAATATTGACCTGGCAATAGCACTAAAATCCGGTGTTTCAAGGCTATATGACGCTGCCCTTACAGGACCGTTTGTAGTTTATTATTTATGCCACGTTTGAGAATCCACATCGGATGTATCTGAGATGTAGTAAGTAGTAAATCTTTGATCACGTGATTCAGTATACGTAAATGTAATGGGACAGATGTGTCCGATGTGGATAAAAATCGCTCGAGATGTAAAAAATGCATCCGATGTGGATTCTCAAACGCGGCATTAATTACACGATGAAAGTGGCATTTTATTTTTAGGTTTGTGTAGTGTTTAGTCAAATCCTAGGTACAATAAAAGACATTTTTACATTGGCTAATGAAAATGTAATCAATGTATTAGGCAGCTGTTATATTTATTACAAGATTTATGTCTGCAAATCTAAACCTACCTAAGAATTATAATTATGTAAATAGAGAGCTGTATATTTATATACAGGCTGCCCAGCGACGGGGAGACATTATCGATATCGGTTTTAAGGCATTTTAAAACATAAACCCGATCTCAACAATCTTAGGAACTCTTCTGTCACTCGATATTTTAATCGGTACTTCCTCTTAGCTTTTTGGCTGGCACAACAATTATTTACATTTCTTCATTCCTTACCGCGTTCGAACCAGTAAGGTTTAAAGAAATTTAAAAAAAAACCTACTTTAAAAATAAAGATGTTAATGATTTTCTTATGGATCCCATCTTCAGATCTTGACTTAATGTATATAAAACTGTTTCCTTTTCTAACAAAAATAATCCTAGAAATCGGGCAACGTGGTAAAGAATTATCGCTCAACATACATAAAAAAATATTTCAACGAATTGAGAATATCCTACCATTTTGAAGTATGTTAAAAAAAAATTGTTAATAAAGTGAAAAGTAGGGCATGAACATATATTATAAAGTATACAAAATGATAGATAAATCCAGTTTAGAAGGTATTATAAATAAACTGTGGAAATATCGAGAATCTCGATTTTGAATCGGAAAAATATTCTACGCAATTTAGTATGAAAGCTGATCAAAATGAAACACATGAACGACAAACTGTTATTGACAACTTTCTTTAAACGTTTTCTATTTTTCCGAAAACTAACTAGATAGTTCGAAAATCATTTCCTTCGTTAAAACGCCTCTTGTTCCGAAAAAGGTACACGCCTGCCAACATTCATCGTTCATTAAAAAAGTGGTAGATACAAAACGCTTCGTATTGTAAGGCCAAAATATATTTAGAAATCGAAATAGTCATATAAACAAAAAAATCATATGAGTGAGATAACTACCAAATTAATGATTTACAAGTTTATTCCTATTATTTATAAAATAGGTTTGCAATGTGCTGGTGTGGAATGTTATCATCGACTAAAAACTTTAAATCTTTGTATTAAATTGATCGAAAACAAACTATAAATTGGTTTAGACTATATAGAATGTTTCTAGTAAGCAGCAACTAATTTTTATTATGGAACCGAAAGACCCTTTTAAAAAGGTTCAAAATTAAAATAAAATATGTACCAAGTAAATGTAGTAGTATTTTTTAATTTTTTAATTTATATTGAAAATGGTAACATGAAAGGTTTTCTGTCTAACGACTCATAGTCTCGGCTGACAAAATGTAAAAAAAATATCGAACATAATATTCCTGGGCCCTATCTTGCACTCCCCAGATTAAATTTAGTTGTAGCAAATGATATTATCAAATAAGATGTCAAATCACAAGCAAAATCTCGTGACTACAGTACTAATGATTGCCTGTTTGGAAAAGTATCTTTGTAAATATTTATATGCATAGTTATATTTAAATGCGCGAGTGTAATGTTAAGTATAAACAAAATCCGCGCATTATGTATATACGTTTAGTTACCGACCCTAGTAGATAGGCAATTTGTTATTGTTTTAAGTTTTACCGTAGGGAGAGAGAAAATCAATATTAGGATAAATGGTCCAGCTCCTTTCTGGTTACGTAGGTACCTAAAAAGTATTTTAGTTTTTGGTTAAGTAATTAATTATTGTAACAGTGATTTTCTTGTGATAGTACCTAATTTAGATTGTGGATTAAAGTTTTTGTATATAATTTCGCTGTTTAATAATAAACGTAGTCAAAACCGGAGCACGTGGTTTTTCTGGAAAGTATTTTTAAAATCACAAGCAAAATCTCATGACTACTGTACTAATGATTGCCGAAAATTAACTAATTCATATTTTCTGCCATATCTTTCTTAATAAGGACTGTCAGAACCATATTTACCTTAACTTGAAATTTTTTTAATAGTTTTTTGTATATAATCATCTCTAAAAATGTATGATTGAAATATCGTGCGAACTATTTGTTCGATCAATAAAAAACTTGCACCGGTCCTGTTCGCGCCAGCACCGTTATACGCATGAGCTCCGACACACTATTTTCTCCTTATGGTTTCATTTTTGATATATGGAATCGGCTTTCTATACTATTTCTATCTGTGGATCAGATTATTGAAAGTTACGGTCATCAAGTTTTACGTCTGCCACCGTATCATTGCCAGTTTAATCCCAGCGAATATATATGGGGAATAGCAAAACAATATTATGACCATCATATTGGGCCTAATGGTTATAGTAACGACGCAGTTCGGGAAACTGGGCGAAAAGCACTTTCAATTGCAACTCCAGAAGTGTGGCGGAACTGTATATCCAAGTGCGAGAAACTAATAGAAGATTGGTGGACTCGTGAAAATAAAATAAACGATATAAGTAAATTTTTATGTTAGAAAATATTTTATTTGATCTAAATAACCTTCTTATTATACATAGAACATATTTTTTGTGTGAAGTGTAATATAAAATTATTATTAGGTTTATAATAGCCACATTAGACTCCATTAATGAAGAAGTTTAATTCTGCTCTCAATTATACAAAAGATTCTTCATTATTATTTAATTAAAAAGTTGTACATTATTTTTCATTTCATTTAACCAGTTGATATTTCCTCAAAGAACAGGTCAAACTTTCGGGTACTTACCTGGAAATACTCATAAAATTTTTAATCCGAAACCCGCGTAAGTATAGCGAACAGACTGTAGGTAAGGTAGTCTGTTATAATGTTCTCAAAAATCTTAGGTATAGTACTGAGAATAGATATAGGTCGGTAATTTTTGACGTCTGACTTGCCACCCGATTTGTATATTGGGGTGACATAAGATAGTTTCCAATAATTTGAAAACTCACCCGTGGCCATAGATTTATTGAAAATATAGAAGAGAGGGCGGGATAATACGAAGCTGCAATTTCTGAGTAGGATGGGAGGAATAATGTCAGAACCTGGACCTTTCTTTATTTCAAGATTAGATAATTTCTCATAAATGGTCGAAATAGGATACATTAAGTTTTGATTTAATATCGTTAAAATTTTGATTAGTGTAAACTGATATCAGAATTTTAAAACCTAATAAAAACAATTTATTTTATAATTCTTGGCAAAATAAATATTGTACTGATTTAATATTTATCTATATGTGACAAAAATAAGTACCTACGGAAAATGTAAAATGTTTTATTTATCAACCAATATTATTTTATTTCTATATTTTAAATGTAAGCTACTTTATTTGCTTTTTTTACATTACTAACTACTTATTTATGTTTAGAGAATTACAAAATAAATTTTCTTCTTATTTAATAAAGTAGAAGACATTTTTAACGTGCCACATCCTGTTTAACGGTCCAGGAATTTGAATAATTCATATACAGGAAAGAAAAGGATATATATATATATATATATATATATATATATATATATATATATATATATATATATATATATATGTTATTCGTTATTTTTGCTCTTCCTCGTATATTGAAAAAGTTGAATGTATCGTTATTAGGTTTTATATAGATCAAATTATAGTATGGCTGGCAAACAATGTAATTGCTACATAGTAATAGTGATATAGTAAATTGATCAATTATTGGTCCCAAGGATATTTAATAAACAATATCTATTGTTTTCTAGAGATAAAATTGATTAAAAATCGTGATTTTCTTATAGGTATCTTAAATCTTAATCCTCTTTTGTCTGTTTATAAGTTGAAATAGTTTAAATAACAATTAAATTTAATATTTCTTGGAAATTTGATAACATCAAAAGCGTCGTGATAACTAGGACATTTTCTCGATATGAAGAAGAAAATTCTGTTAGCTGAAAAAATATCATGTCATGTATAGACCTGGGTTATTAACATTTGAGAAATAAATGTATGTAAATATTGCGAGTAATAAAAATTCTTCACTACATACAGGATGTTTGCATTAACTGATTGTAAAAGTGTTTATTTCACAAGCTGCAAAATCTTTTTATCTACATTTCTCATGAAAAATAAATCTTGCATTTGTAACGCCGTCAAGAAAGGCAAAGGAGGCGAAGAATATCGCAAAATATCTGTAAAAACAGTAAAATATTCTTAAAAATTTGCAATTTTAATACTCTGTATATCATAAAACTTGTCATAGACATGGAAGCTTTCGTTCAGAAAGTCATCACAACTTGTGAAACATTATAAAAATTTAGGGGATTATGATTAACAACTTGTGTTATTTTTAACAGGTCTGTTATTTTATAAACACACAGAAATAACAATAATGTTTACAAATAATAGAGGTTATGATGGACAAATAATGTTAGTTTTAACATCCACTTTATTTGTGAACAGCTTGTTATTTCTATGTGTTCATAAAATAACAGACCTGTTAAAAATAACACAGGTTGTCAATCATAACCCCCAATGTGTCTGTTAAAAATAACATTACTTGTCCATCATAACCCCGTTAACCATTTTTTTATAACGTAAATACAGGGTCGTCCTCAAGTTTGCGAAAAAATAAGCGAAGTTTTAATTCATTTATGGGGACTTATGTATAAGCAACCGAAAAATTCTTATTCACTCCTATTTCGACTGGATTAAATAGACAAATTTTGATTGAAATGAAACATTGGACTGTGCTTAAAAATTTTATTAGACACCGTCTCTCAAATGTTAATCACCCTACTAAGTTTATGTATGCGATTGAGAACGATATCGCCTTGCTTGATTACTGCCTTAAATACTTCCATTTTGCTTTCGCTATGCTCGTTCACGACTTTACCGCTAATTTTATCAATTTTGTAATTCAATCTACCGGCAGCGATCAATTTACTTAACTCATCTTCGATGTAATCTTCCGAAACTCCAAATTGATGGCTCATGTATGATATGTTGACGGAAATGTATGTAGACAGCAACTGATCGTATGCTTTGATTTTCATCTCGCGAATATAGTTCTGATAGTGCGGATTCAGCAGCATATCTTGCTTGATTAGTACTTCAACATCGGCGAGCCTTAAGAAAAAAAGCTTGTAATCACAGTTGTAAAGAGAGAATAAGTATTCTTTGAGGGTAACGACGTTGTGTAAGGCCTGCTGCATATCGGGATTTTGTATCAATTTACTCTTTAATTCGCTTCGATTCAAGGTTAAAATTGCCGACAAAAGCGTGTAACGTATGAACATATCGAACGATAACACTTCTGTACAAATGAAAGTGGATATCGAGTTTACTAAAAGATTAGCGGCAGTTTTGAAATCTCTGGTGATCAACGAATACAAAGCTTTGTAGATTTTGAAACAGTTCCTGCTGTGCCAATCAGCACCTTGTTCGAGCATAGATTCGGCTCTTTGAATGTTCCTCCGTATCAAACCGGTGTCCATAAAGAACAAACCGATTCTAATGCAATAGAAAATGTTGTCTAATTTGTTCTTCAGCGCTATAGTGCTGTCGTATGCCTGACTCAGCGCTTTTATAGTGTTTTCTTTATCACCGATTTTACTCAAGTAATTAGCTTTCTTCATATACAATTCTCGCATTTCCGTCAGACCCATGTCTTTCAAACTGTCTTCGATTTCTTTATCTATCTCCTCTAGAACGCTGTCGTTGTGCTGTTTCATTTGATAGTACATGCAAACATCGAATTCCCAATCTAAATCTTTAGTAACCAATTTGTAGTAAGGTGCCATGTCTTCGGCTAAAATCATTGTAAGAAGTTTATGTTTCCTGCAGTAATCGTAGCTGTATTCAGGTAAACTTAAAGCGAATTTTAGTTGGGCTATGTCCAAAGTTGGGCATTTCGGTGGTTCTTCACTGCCTGGAATTTCGCAAGCCATTAAAAAAAATTAAATTATCTTCATCTTAGTAATTCATGACATCTATGCGTTTTATTATGACATGTGGCGTTTTCGAGTATCTGCGAACATAAGCTCTGTTTGTGCCTGTAAATAAGAACGTTTGACAGTTGTATTCTCCATGGGCGTATCAAATAGTTTTTTAAATATAATTGTCCAGTTTAAAAGAGTTACTACTTTTTACGATATTTATAAAAAATAGGTAAAGGGGCTTTTCAGTAAGCGATAAAACAAGGGGTGGTGGAGTGCTGATTGCGACCCATGAAGAATACGTCTTTACCATGATAAATCTTTAGGAATATTCTTTCCCCGTTTTCAACTTTATAGACTGCCTTTTGATAAAAATTAAATTTAAGTTTACGATATACAGGGTGTTTGTAAAAGTTGCTTCGTTTGGACTCCAGAGGGCCTTGAAGTTACAATTTTTAAATCGTTTTTCCCATATAAATTTAAAACGGCATATGCGATTTTGCTGAAATTTGGTATATTAGTAGAGTTTTATGTGGCACAAAAATAGTATTAAAATTTTGTCCGATTATAATACATAGGCGTAGAACTTGATTTTTTAAATAATTGCACCTTTAAAAATTCTACGCCAATGGAAGAAAAGGAGTTTGAGTATGAAATTTAGATTGCGCAACTCATTTACTTTAAAAAAGGTACTCTTGATAAGACTCGATTACTCTCATGGTTTTCGCTAAATTTCTGTTTTAATAATTTAGAGTGTATAAGTTTCACAAAAATATTTATTTACAACATAATCAAAATAGAGATTTTACAAAAATTGTTCAAAATGTTCACCATTTTCACGCATACAAAGATTTATACGTCAAAGAAAATTAAAATGTATCCTTTCCATAACTTCTTCATCACCTCTAAGATTGTTTATTGCATCTTGAATACGTTGCCAGAGTTGTTCCTCATTTTTTACAGGTTCCCTGTAAACTGTGGATTTCAGATGTCTCCATAAAAAGTAATCCATCGGTGGTAGGTCTGGGGAACGCGGTGGCCAGTTTATAGGTGCGTCATTACCTCTGTCTATCCATTTGTGTGGATATTGTTCATTCAAGTAGTTTCTAACGTTTAAAGAAAAATGTGGTGGAGCTCCTTCTTGCATAAACCACATATCTCTCCGAAGTTAGAGAGGTAAATCTTTTAACAATTCTGGCAACGTATTTTGTAGAAAATCCAAATAATTTTCTCCAGTTAATCTTCGTGGAAGTATGACAGGACCAACAATGAAATTACCAATTATTCCAGCCCACACATTAATTTTGAATGCGTGCTGAAAATGGTTTACCTTTATTGCATGCGGATTTTCAACGGCATAAACATGTTCATTATGGGTATTAGTTATACCTCTTCTTGTAAAACCCGCTTCATCGGTAAAGAGAACCTTCTTGACAAAGTTTGGATCTCTTTCTCTTTGCATATTAACAAATCGACAAAAACGCAAACGAATTTGAGGATCATGGACTAATAATTCTTGTACTGGCTTCTTATGGTATGGATATAGCAATTGTTCTCTAAGCACTTTATGAACGACATCTTTAATTACTCCTAGTTCCCTTCCAATTCGTCTGGTGCTTAATTCTGGATCTTCTTCAACACGTTCTAAAATGTCTTCTTCAACTTCAGGAATCCTTACAAAACGTTCTCTTCCATTATCAACAGTGTTGGGAGCAGAGGAACCGGTCTCCCGAAGATGTCTCTCAATAGCAGCAAAAGTTGGGTGGCTAGGTACACGACGATTTGGAAACCTTTCAGAATACACCCTGACACTCTCCCGAGCATTTCCTTCACAAAATCCTAATGTCAGTAACATATCGGTATATTCTGCATTGGTATATTGTACAGCCATATTAATAAACCGCGTATTTGTTTTTTTAATTATTGAGTCAGATAGAACACATCGTTAACAAGAGATGGATTAATGTGTTTTGGTCTAATATGTGGTATGTTTTTGTAAAGACCTTTTACAGACACCCTGTATATTTGTGCAATTTATCTATACCACCAAAAACGCCTCGAGATGAACTCGAAAGCCTTTTTAAGTCACTTTTTGTATGGTGGTAAAATTTTAATCCTTGGTGATTTTAATATCGCTGACTACGTTTTATCTCTTTCCATCCCCTAAACTAGCTATAAGCTGTTTTAAATAATTTCGTTGATGTCACAGATCTTACACAAAATAACTTTGTTTTCAATAAGTTTAATAAACTTTTAGATTTGGTAGAATAGTTACACTTTTAATTCTCTTCTAAAACAGGTTTTGAAATTACGATATGATCCGAGGCTCAAGAAATGTGTAATATTGCATGTCGTAAAAATGCTTCAGTACACACATGCAATTTTAATGAGACCAACATTTTACAACAGGATAAAATATATTTACTCGAATAGTATAAATGCATAACATAAATGGCTTCCTTATAATCGGTTTCGACAGTACAGAGTTATTTTCTATTGTAGAAATAAATTCTGTATTCCTTTGGTTCTTTTATATATCTAATTTAAAATCTTTGATATATTTGTGATTTTTTTAAATTCTTTATTACATCAAGCACTTCGTTAATATTAGGAAGAATTGTATTTATTATTTCTTTGTTTTAGGGAATTTGTCCAGCTAATAGACTGAGATTGATACCGGGCGTTTTCGAAGATACGGGCCAGTTGATTAGAGGCGTGTCACCTAATCAGTTCACCGAACCAGGCGAATTTAGTTCCCTTCAACGTCAAGGCAAACGAAGAAGTTGGCATGTTCTTCCAAATCAGGTAAGTTAATTTTATAACAGTTTTCATCGAAAGGTACATGCTATAATTCAAATAGATCAAATAAATACAAAAATTTCGATTTAGATACTTAAATCACAATTGAACCCATAAATATGTTATCTGGTCATCGACAAATAAATTTGTTATTTAAATCCACAGCGGACTTTAAACAGATTTGACTTTGACCCTCACGTTAAAATATTTTAGCGTTGGCAAAACTTTAAATCAATTCATCAAAAAAAAAAAAAATCGAAAGTGCAAATGGGATCATCGATTACTAACCGAATGACTTGTTTTTGTTGCTTATTCCTTGCAATTATCATAAACATGGGCGAAGTTATGTCATCAGATCTGGGGGGGCTAAAGCCCTAACCCTAGTCATATAATATATAATAGTTCTAGAGGTATACTGAAGTTAAGTAAAACAATTCTGGCGAATCTATGAAAATGAATAAAATATCATATATAAGTGAAAAAACTGAATAATTTTCATTACAATAATTTTCATCACAAAAATTTCCTTAATTTTCGCAACAAGAGTAGATATGGACAATCCACTCGAGTTGTGCAATATATTTTTTCTACGAACTACTAACGAAAATCTACAAATTTAAAAAATTAATTTAGGTTTGGACAAAATAAGCAATTTTAAAATAATTTATGAATTTTATTAATTTATAAAATAAAAAACATTAGCCCCTAGTCCAGATTCGAACCCAGGCTATTCGCGTGGAAGGTAAATGCTCTGTCCTCAGCTCCACCGCCACTTTTAGGTTTTTAATTTTAATACTCGTAATTAAGTTAGTTTCATACAATTTGATTAAGATTTACTTTTTTAAATGTGGCCCAAATAAAATTAAAATGTTATTTTTTATCGATTCTAAACAAAAATAACTAATTTTAACGTATATGTAATTTTATTGACTAAAAAATATACTGACAGTTTGTCAGAATTTAAAATTTTAAAAATAATAGTAGTTGGATGTCCAAAATATGAACTGGGATTTGTGGATTTCATTATTTTGCAGTTTTCTCGCTATGTTATGTTGGGAATGGGGTGTTAATACACTGCGACCTAAAATATCTATTGTGCCCCCTTCTGTCGCTAATGCAGAAAGAAAATGTCTCAATGCCTATAACGACCCTTTCAATTATATCTTCTCAAGGAAGTGTAGGATTTGGAGTGGCTTCAAGTTTCTATTTGATATGCTCCTAGGTATAGTGCCCTTGGATTCTGGAGTGCTACACATTCAGTTAGAATGTAAATGAAGGTTTCGTCCTTCTCCTCACAGAATCTTCACTCACTATTTTCTACTACTCTCAGTTTACTAAAGTGTCCTTTTAGTTGGCAATGCCCAGTAAGGATCCCTGTTACAAGTGTTTTCAGTACTAGAAAAATGTATATTATGATAACAGATTAAAATACAATCTGGCTAATGTGGAATACCCCGAAAGCCTTGCCAGACTTGTCTAATGATCGTCAGGCGCGCTAAATTCTGCACGTTCGATTACTATTCCTCTCCTCGTTTAACTACCTGGATACCTATTCTCTAACTCATGGGAGCACTCCCATGCTCCCATACTCCCATGCCAACGTTGCCAAGTCGACAGAATAACTTTGATCTACTATTTAAGGACCGATCCACCGTTGTGTTAAACGAAGTTTAAAATGACATTTTTACATTAACAATGTCATTTTAATCTCCGTTTAACTCAACGGTGGAATCAGCCCTTAGCTTTATGTTCTAGTTTAGTAAATGTAAAATATTTATGACTGGGAAAATAAGTGTCAGACTCAAAATGTTTGTTTTTTGTCACTAAGAGAACAGTTTATTTTCATATACACCGATTGGAAAAATGAGTACGAGTAAAATTCACTGCCTCCTGAACTAAATGTAAAATTTCAGAATCAATCAAATGGCACGATTTTTCTTTATTTATTAATTTCTGTTCTGAAATCTGAAATGTGTGGATAGATGTGCGATAAATGTTCGAATTATTTTTGGGGGGGCTAATTTGGTTTTTGGGGGGGCTTAGCCCTCCCCCCCCCTAACTTCGCCCATGATCATAAATTGAGGTTTTTCCGAAATATGTAGGAACTTGTAGCATTTTTTATTTGAATATAACAATAAAATATAAAAAAAGTATATTAGACCAGATTGATTGTTATATTATTTTTACTAAAACTAATTTATATGAGTAAAAGTTCACTTCCAATTGCTACAAAGAACAAAATAAAAAAACTTCTTATGTAAGAGGCTACGATTTCATATTTGATTGCATGCATAACAAGTTTTTTTGGTAATATTTTCCCCTATTTTTAGAAATAATGATGAACTAAATTCAATTTTTTTACTTCTCGTGTATATGTTACAAATATTTTATTATTTATGAAGTTTATATTGTGTTTTAATTTAGGAACAATTTAAAATTTAAT